TCCACATACACCTTTAAGAACGGAACTTGGAATGGTAACATGCCTTCAACCTTTTTTAGGATGTAATTCATTATTATGTTTGCTAGTACATTTTGGATAAGAAAAAAAAAATCTTGATTATATTAACAATAATAATAATATATACCATTATATAATAATTTATTCTAATGAGTTTTTTTGTTTGTTTCTGTATCGTTTCAGGTATCAACTTTCTAAGAACGTGGATCCAAGGACTATATAAGTGACTCGCATGTTCATTTCGAAATACGAACAAGTCGTCGTTTCCAGATGAAGTATGAAAAAAGTATCAAGGATTATTTCTTATTTGCACTTTGGACGATCATATTGGAAGAACACCAATCGTCAACGTTTCTTATATGGAATTGAACGTTCCTCGAGGATATTTATTATCTGTGATGATGATGATTTCAATTTAAATATAATATTCGATCAAGGAAGTTGGACATAAGAATGTGGTCCTCGAAATTAAAATAAATCTAAATTATTAATATTATTATTTTATATATATTTTCTTCTAAGAGAGAGGAAAAAAGAAAACAAAGATAGAGAGAGAGAGACAAAAATTTCTCGGTTATGTTATTATTATTATAATAAGAAGTTATAAAAAAAGTGTTCAGCTACTATGATCTTTTATTCATTCCCATCGTGAATGATTTTTTCCAATTGGAATAAAGAGAAAAATTTAACAGAAGAATTAATTGATCGGGCTATGATAAAAGGGCTGGGGAAATAATTCTCGAATCTGATCGATTTAACGAACACAATTTGCACGAATTTGTGCGTAACAAAATGTGACGGACGGGCTAATTGAACGTTTATTAATCCTGTCGAAATATTACGAATGACTGAAAACAACAAATATATATATATAAAATTATATGTATAAGAATGTAGAAATATCTGACTGATTTGAGATTCTAAAAAAATGACGAAAATACCTACGAATATTAGAGCAACAATGATCGGTAGGTAAGAAGAAGAAGAAGAAGAAACAAAAAGGGACAGGAAACTGTTCTCCTTCCCCCATTATCAGCATCAGGATCAGCATCAGCATTAGCCGTTAAACATAAGAAAAAATATTGAATAATTCTACGAGTATTTCTCAATTCACACATTCTTCTTCCGATATATATATTTACGGCATTAAATAGAAAATGAACGAAGAAAAAGAAAAGAAGAAAAATAATAATAATAATATATTAGAAATAATCGCAAAGACTGGTCCTCTCGTAAGTGTCCTTATTTCGAGAATCCTCTCATAATAATCGCAGTTGTCATCGCGTATATCTCAGTCATTAAAAAAAACAAACGTGATAGTTTTTGTTGATAAAAATAAATCCTACACACACACACACACACACACACACCAACCATCTAGCTTTGTCTCGTTTATAAATTTCCTAATTCTCCCGGTTATGGAATGATCCTGTGTTCGACCGAAATACTTGGACGTTTGCTACGAGCACGCCTAAACACTATCGAGCATCATGATAGGAACGATGCGTTTGCTTATCTCGTCATTGATAATTACAATGCAATTTTATGGAAACGTTTGTTTGTCGAACGGTGACGGCGGCCCTAATAGTCCGATATTCAATTTGGATCATACGTCATTGGAAAAAAATCTAGCTGCAATATTCATCAAAGTGGCACACAGTTCGGCAACCACGAAACGTAGCGTACCAGCATATGACGCACAAGTATCAGCTAGTACGACATTGTCAACTGTACCGTCCCCGTTAACGACAACTTTTAGCAGTGGTACGACAAACAACAGTGCCACGAAATCTAACAAATCAATTACGACAACTACGACGACACCGAGATCTACGACGACGACAACGACGACGAAGAAGACAAAGACGACAATTAGCACAACGAGTACTACGATCAGAACTATAACACCAGCAACTATTAATCCATCGTTACATTCTATAAGAATTCCAATACCACGTGCAACAGCAGCATCATCGGGTATACGTGATTTGCCATCGTATGCTCCACCTTCGCGAGCCTTATTTACACCACCTTTACCACCGGAATACCTTCATCCGTTCGCCGACAAGCCAACGCTCAGGGGTACGAATTCTGACGTGCATACTGGTGCAAGAAGACCCGTACCACCTCCAAGTCTTACACCTGCCCACGAGAGAATACCTATCAGACCACCTGACCTAGTCCAAGTGCCTGTTTCCTCCCACGGTCCGGAAAGACACTCGCATTCCAGGAACAAAGCCATTAACACGAGCAACAACAACAACGGCAATTCTAAATTCGGTATTGAGTTCGGTGATAACGATAAGAGAAATAATTCGAACGAATTCGTACCGACACTTCATTATCCAAGCATATCCCGCATACTTTCCGGTAGCAATGGTAGAAAACAAGACATTCCTGAGATTCTTTTGAAACCCCTTGCTACTAAGAGTCCGTTTCAAAACGTACCGTTGGTTATAACAACTGAGAGATTGAGCACGTCGACGCCTATGTTGCCGGTAACGACGTCAACCGCAACGGGAACTACTACTATGATGCCAATTACCAGTAGTACGGTTGATCCTTTTAAAAAGGTTACCCAACCGACTATTTTCAACCTGCCAAATACGAGAAGACAAGAAAACGATGGCGATTATTTGCACGGTATGAGAACAGAGAACGGTTTCAAAACTGACAATATCGAGATAGTTGATACCGAAAGACTGCCAAATCCTCAACCTCAACCACCGGCACCACCGTCTAAGAGACCAAACGACAAAGTGGATGATCCTTTGGTACCACACATAGACACTAATCCCTTAGAATCAACTTGGAAAATTGCCTGGTCACTTCACGTTTACGTAGCGGCCATCATGTTTACCCTAATGGCATTATATTCGATCTACAAGATCGTACGTTTCAACGAAGCTACCAATCTTCTAACCCAATCATATTTCCTTGCGGTACATCTATTGTTAACTACCGTATGCACATTGAGATGTTTTCATTTGTTCTACGATGCATACAATTTGGGACATTCCTTGCCGGAACCATTGTCACGGGTTTTGATGTACTTACCGGCACCGTTGTTGTCGGCTGCATTTGCAACACTTATGTTGTACCTGGCCCGATGCTCCGAGGCACCATCCTTGAACAATAAACTTTTGTCACCGGGTGCCCTAGTTTTTTTCTCAACCATACACATAATTCTATGCGTCTCTCTCCACGTGTCGACTCACGTGTTGGGTTATCGAGACGAAGCTAAGATACTACCTCTAGTTTGTCAGTGTATCTACACCATCGTATGCGTAACCCTCGGCCTCTGTTATGCTTACGTATATCGTGTCGTACGTTCTCAGATACACATTATGAACAATAAAACTGCTGGTGTAAATCACGTAGTCGCTGGTATCGATCCATCGACAGTGGCATTGAGCACGGCCATTACTACGACCATAGCAACCGCTATGATCTTCGTAGTGTTGGGTTTTGTACAGCTCTATGGTATATTTGGCATACGCGAACGTTCCCTGCCTTATCCTTGGTTCTGGTGGGGCTGGCAATTCTTCATAAGGTTATTAGAACTCACCGTTTGTGGATTATTGGTTTGGGTTGCCAGTCTATCGCAATATCCTTTAAGGGAGAAACAATTACAACAGCATCCAGCTCATTCGGGTTTTGCACTATTCCCATGCGGGAGTTCAACGTCCACGGAAAATATGGACGACGTGTTGTATCCAGCGATATGCAGTACCAATCAAGCGATACAAAATTATACCATGAGGACTGGGAAACAGGTTTACGACGACAGTTTTCCGTTAAACACCTTGCCCGAACATTTGAACATATCAGGTATTCTTAATATACATTATTATATATTTTTTAATATAAATACTTCATATGTAATATATAAAAGGAAAATAAAATGAGAATCCAAAATAATTGTTGTTACGTTAACCCGTAGGTACCTTCGAAAGGCATTCCATACGGAAATCCGGCACGATGGGTCATTTTCCCCATGAAGGACGGGGATCATTGAGTCGTCATGGCAATGGTGTCCAAACTTTAAGAAATTCCGAGACCAGGGCCAGGCATACACCTGTCCCAGCTTTACACGAGCAACCTCCAACAACCGGGTCTACCATGCTGGTTGCTGAAGATGGCTTCGTTAGGTTTCGAAGTTTAGGTGCCGAAGAAGACGAATTGTCCGATACCCAGAGTATGGTTGGTACTCATGGTAGAGGGAGTTCGTTGGCTGGTAGCGTTAGATATAACGCGAGGCATACCAACATTCAACATCAACATCAACATCAGCAACACCAGCATACTAATCCCCATCAACATCAGCATCAACACTCGTTGCAACAGCATAATCACCCGAGCCAACAACATCAGACGACGAGTCATCATCAACTTTACAACAATACGTAGAAGATTCGTCATTGGTCGTGTTTAATTATTACGATATTATGATGCGGCTCTCTCTAAGTGAGACAAATCTACGATTTCAATCGTTTATATTATATCAGCTGTGCAAGGGGTGAAATAATTAATACGATATCGAAATACGGCTGAATAATTAATCGATATAAAAGAACATTTCGAACAAATGAAAATATATCGCGTTAATTATATATATATAAATATTATACACACGTAAGCGCATGTCACTAATAAATGCATACACACACACACTCACTCACTCCACTCGTACGTACGTACCAATCGAGAGAGAGAGAGAGAGAGTGAGGAACTGAAAAGCGTGAAACGCTTTTAATCATCATGATCATGATCATCATCATCATCATCATCATCATCGACACATTGTTGTCCTACATATTGTCAGAGTTAAACTCTTTTTCTTTTTTTCATCCTTTTTTTTTTCTTCCAATATGTATGTCGCTGCGTTGCGATATGCGATTGCGTTTTCATTGTCATCGAAATGAAGAAGGAAAGAAAGAAGGATAATGATTCGTGGAAAAGTGTGTGTTTTACAAGTGCGTTTTGCGCGAGTGTTTGATTTTTGGGATAATATAACAAGATCGGATACCTCGCGAAAGAAAAAAAAAACTTTTATCGAAGGACTTTCTTTTCATCGTACAGTTGAATAGGGGGGGCGAGGCGAGGAGAGGGGGCCAACAATTTGATCCAAAATCTTCCTAAGTGATATTTAAAAACAAAAAAAAATCAATTATCTTCTTCTTAGAATTGTAAGATGAGATTTACGAGTCCTAGCTCGTCAAATTAACAAAAATCTGAAATGGTCTCGACAAAAAAAAATGATTGATTTTTTTTTAATTACAATCACTAAAGAGGAACACGTTGGACACTTGGCCTTATATTTCTAATGGAAAAAGAAGAAATAAAATAATGAAATATAATGTATCTTCTCGCGTCCTCTGTGTTTGCGTTGTTGTATAGAAAACAAAACGAAAGAAACAAAAAATCACATTCCTATATATATATTTCTTGCTCCACTCATTTTTACGTGTGTGTTTATCATGAAGTCTTATTAACATGATTACGCATTGTGTCATCTGAATTTTGTGAGTCGAGCAGTTACTATCTCACACTACCCACTCTAACGTACTTATATTTATTTTCTATCTTCTAATAAACGAAGAAAGAAATAATGGAAAATAGGAGTGTGAAAAAGAATGAAACACGCAGCAGCAAACAAAAAGTATACGGCAAAGATCTCGTTATTTCATTGGTGAAAACGAGAATTCATGTTTCGTATCTGGATAGTCCAGGGTATTTCGAGTCGTAACGTTAATAATTAGGCACTTGGTACTTACTAAGATGATAAAATACGTGTGATTAAAACAAAACAAAAAATGAAAAGATGAGACGAAGTGAAAAGAAGAAGAAATGAATAATAATAATAATAAATAAAAAATAAATAAAAACAAAACATAAGTTATATAACGTGTCTCTCCTTGTATAACGTAAAGAAAAACTAAAGCGAGGCTTTATTTTTCTTATATTATATTTTATTTATTTCTTATTTTTCATTTTATTATTATTATTATTATTATTATTATTATTATTATTATATTTTTCATCCAAT